CACGTCGGCTCCCGTGAGGTAGCAGCGCCAGACGCGGAATGCATGGACGATGGCCAGCATCTCCTTGTCGTGGACTGGGTAGTTGCGCTCGGGTGGCTGCATCTTGCGTGATTCGTAGGCGATGGGTTGCAGCCCTTGGCCGAAGTCCTGTAGCAGGACGGCGCCGACGGCGAAATCGCTGGCGTCCGTGACGACTTCGAACGGTCGAGATGGGTCGGCGAGGCGGAGGACAGGGGGTGACTTCAAAATGTTTTTGAGGGCGTCGAAGGCGGACTGCTCCCTCTCCCCCCACCGAAAATCACTGTCGTGATGCAACAGGTCGGTTAGCGGCTTGGTTATCCCTGCCATATTAGGTACAAAACGACGAACGTAGTTAACAAACCCCAAAAAGCTTTGCAACTCAGGGATATTAGTAGGCGGCTTCCACTTAACGATGGCGTCCACTTTACGCGGGTCAATCTTAATCCCTTCGCCAGAAACCACATGGCCTAAAAACTCTAACTCCGGCTTTAGGAACTCGCACTTAGACCCCTTCGTAATGAGCCGATGCCCCTGTAAACGCCGGAACACCTTTGTCGCGCTGATGGTCCTCCTTTGTCGCGCTGTACACCAGGATTTCGTCCAGGTACACGATGACTTTTTTGTCCAGCATGTCCCGAAAAATCCCGTTCATGGTGAGCTGGAACGTCGAGGGCGCGTTTGTCAGACCGAACGGCATCACTGTGAACTCGTAGCTGCCGTAGCGTGTGCGAAATGCTATCTTCGGGCAGTCGTCGGCGAACACGCGAATTTGGTGGTAGCCCCCTCGCAAGTCGATCTTCGAGAAATACCGAGCTCCGCGAAGTTGATCCAGCAGATCGTCAGTTCGCGGGATCGGGTAACGCGATTTTATCGTGACCCGATTCAGCGCCCGATAATCAATGCACATGCGTAGGCCCCCGTCCTTCTTCGGCGTGAACAGTATCGGCGCTGCATACGGCGACGTGCTTGGCCGGATGAAGCCCTTGGCAAGCAGATAATCCAGCTGTGCCCGCAACTCGGCGAGCTCTGGTTGGCTGAGCCGCCACTGTGACCGTACAGTAGGTTGCGCTCCTGGCTCCAGCTGGATCCGATGATCCTCAGGTCGTTGGGGGGGCAAGCCATCCGGGAGGTCATCCGCGAAAATTTCGGGATACTTCCGAATGATGCTCGCCAATTTTTCAGGGACTGCTGCGCAGAGGGTGTCGATGTCCGCGATTTTCTCGGAAGCTGCCACCTCGTACAGGTGCACCAAGAAGGTCTGAGCTCCGCTGTTCATCGCACGCTGCATGTTGACCGCGTTGACACGTGTCGTCACCGGCTCCGGCTCCGTCCATTTCGGAAGCGTCGTCTTCCCTCCGTATCCTCGCACGACGCACGCCCCAGTCGTCCAGTCGATCGTCGGATTGAAGCGCTGCAGCCAATCCCTCCCCAGCAGCACATCGCAGCCGTCCAACGTCGTCGCCAACATCTTCATGCCAAACCCGAATTTGTCGCCGCACTGTATCCGAATTCTTCGCGCTTCATCTCGGATGGCCAGCGGTGTCCCATCCACCAGCCTTGCATCGATCTCCGGCAGACACCTGGTCAGCTTCACCCCAATTTTTTTGGCCGTTGCCAGGTTGACGAGACTGTGGCTCGCCCCACCGTCAACGAATATTTTTATTTTATAACCGTTAACCCTCCCCACCACCAGCACAGGGTAGTCCACGTGTTCACCCACGTTATTCGTCCGGTTCTGGTCGATAGCTCTGATCGGTACCACGACCCGGTGTGGATGGTGATTGTCGGGCGACAGGGTCTCGTCAGTAGGTGGCCCTTCTGCTACTGACTCACATCTTTTCCCGACCCTTCTCCGTCGTTCTTCTTCCCCTGCTTAAGCCTCGGGCAGTCTTTCTTCAGGTGGCCCAGCTGGTTGCATTGAAAGCACGGCCCAAGGGCTCGGCTTGGTGCATCCACGCCGTTGATCGTGGGCTGCTGGGTCGATCCACGAAATCGAGGGCCCTCCCGGGAGCTCGATCTCGCCCACTGCATCAGCGCATCCGTTGACTCGGCTTCCCGGACGGCGTCGTTGAAGCTGCGTGGCCGGGTTCGTCGGACCTCGTACTGTATCTCGTATTTCAGGCCCGCCACGTAGCGATCCAACCGCTCCGCATCGCTCATGTCGTCCACTTGGTCCGCCAAGTTGCAGAATTTGCTGGTGTAGTCTTGGACCGAAGCCAACTGCTTCCAGGTACGCAGCTGCATGCGAGCAGAATCCGAGGCGGATACATGCTCGAATCTGGTTCGCAAGGCGGCGCCCCACTCCTTCCATGTGCGTATCGTGGCCGTCCCGAAGATTGATGCTGCCTGATGCGTGACAGGTGTTGAAGTCCCGTCGTTCGCACGTGCTGTTCCTGCCGAAGTCCCTTCGTGTTGCAGCGTTCGCCTCCACCACTCCAGCGCAGGCCCTCGCAACAGTGAAACTGCGAAATTAATGCGGGTGGCATCGTCATAAATCATGGCAGCATTAAAAAACACCTCCACGCCGAACAACCATGCAGAAACAGTGACGAACTTGTCACTTGGGTTAAACGGGGGCGGGTTTGTCGGCTTGATTTTAACGAAGGCCGTTGTTGTCGTCGGGGCCGTTGGCATCGCTGCTGGTGTCGCCGTCGTTGTCGCTGCTACACGTGTTGGTGCTGCTTGCGACTGTTGCGGTGACTGTTGCTGCTGCGCCTGCCTCGCTTCATCCGCACTTATATCGCCTTCCAACTCGTCCCAGAGCCGCTCCTCCGGTGCAGTGCTGCTACTTGCGTCGTCCACGACAGGCGACTCCTGGCGCGCTTCACCACGCGCCTGGTGTAGTTCGGCGTTTTCCTTCTGGAGACGCTCCATTTCTGCAGACATGGTCCGCATGGTGGCCTGCATCTCCCGGAACTGTTGCATGAACTCGTTGAACTCCGCCTGGTCCATGTGTCGCAGGCTTCGTCTAACGGGCAGGGGGTGGTTCGCGATTTTTCTGACCTGGTGAAGGCGTTAATGCTATCGTAGTCGGAGTGGAATAATCGGATCTATTCCACGGGCCGACCGCTTAACAGCCCACCAAGTCTATCGCTCCCCTTCTACAAACTACCCCGGAAACGCGAGGGTAACCTAGGAAATTAGGCTCTGATACCAAGTGTTATGAGTTGTAAGAATGAAGAGTGCGCAGAATGCTATATTGCGGAAGTGATTACAACGTCTGAATGAACAACGAGGCCTAGGCACAATATAGCAAGGCTAGCTAGGCTGAGATCGCGGGGTCGCGAGATGGTTGGGTGCAGGTTCGGGGTTGGGAAACCCGAAGGCGACGCGGTAGTGGCTCGGAAGGCGAGGTCGGCGGACCGAGCCTGGTTTTCCGAAAGTCGGGGTTGTACGCGTACAGAGTGACCCAGTAAGGAATCCGAAAAATTCCTTACACCCTACTAGCCGTAGTAATGCCGAACCAAGGCCGTAAGCGGTGCGCAAGGTGTAGCCGGAGTTGCGGTGCATATCTGAACATGTGCTTTTGTCAGTGCCTTTAAGTCAATACCTACGCATTAATAAATTAGTACCATCCTGCAAAACACATATTACTGAAATACATAAATTACTTTCAGTCTTCGGGTGGAAGACCTTGTAGAGAAATCCCTATCTGAAGAATACCCAAGTGTTCTAATAAAAGCTGACAAAAGCAGCGTTGTGATCATCTATTGGTAAAATTTGATTACCTAGGTTAGTCGGAGAACTTGCCCTCACACGGTCAGTCAAGACTGCTTCCTTAACTGCTTCCTTAATCGAACTCCCTGACAGGCCATGTTACCGTTGCCGTTTCACCCTCTCCAATGTTGTCATGGCACCAGTCACAACCACCTCTTTTGCATACGAACACCTGAGGGCACATGTATCCTCGTTTTCACGCTCCCTCCTCCGTTTTTGTGACCTACCAGTCTCCGTCTGCCCCCGTTGTATGGAAAGAACTGGCTGCACAACACAGTCTGCACCCAGCTTCCGCTTTATCCGCAGGATGCTCTGCCTTTCTTTCCACGATCTGGACCGCTCCAACCTCGCAGCCACTCGTCTTCCCAGCAGTGAGTTGCTTTTGGAATCCCGCCTTCGTGCAACAGGAACAGGAGATGCTGCTTTCCCTGCCCCAAGCATGCTTGCAGCTGCCCTGGAACCTCTGACCGCCTCCTCCGCACACCTCTGAAAACTCCCCACATTGCTGTGTGACCCTAACGAGCTGCCCAATGCACTACCTCCTGTTGCTTGCATGCCAGCCTTCTTCTGCCTCTTGCCGTTGCTGTGAAGCAGCAATTCCTCTTGTTCTCTGCATCCCCTAATCTCGTCCACCCCTGCTCTCTCTGTTCTGCCACGGTCCTCCTCCTCCAACTCCTCCTCCTCATCTCCAATCCCCTCCTCCCTTACTTCCTCCACCTCTCCTTCCTCTGTGCTCTCGTCTAACAGCTTCTTCCTCTTGACTTGATTCCGCTCTCCCAAAACCTCCCTCCCATTCACGCCTTGGGAAGACTCTGTCAAAACCCTTCTATTTCTCACTACCCTATGCACTCCTCCCTCGGACCCCTGATTCTCCCCCTCCTCCCACTCCTGTTTCTCATCTTCCAGCCTCCCCTGCTCTCTCAAACTGGTCAAAGGCACGGCAGGAGGAGGCTGGGAGGCAGGAGGGACTGGAGGGAGCTCCCGTGTTCGAGCCTTTCTTTTTCTGTGGCCGGTGTCTCCCTTGTTGCTGTCACTGCCCAAACCGCTACCAGAACCGCCACCACTATTTTCACACCCATCTGCCCTTCCTGCTGCATCAACCAAAGTGTCTCCCTCCCGCTGATGCCTCTCCCCCTGATTCTCCCTTCCCTGCTTTCCGTTCCCTTTGCCTCTGCCCTTCCCTCCAGGCTCCCCTGTCCCGCTCCCTCCCTCTCGTATCTGAGATGGGGCCACGTACCCCCTCAGCTCCTCCTGCCGCCGATTCAGCGAATGTAGACGCACGGAGAAAGATGACCCACGGGAATAGCAGCGCGGTGCAGAGGAAGAGGGAGCGGTGGAGGTGAGGCTACTGGACGCTTCAACAGGAGGGGTTATGGAGGAGGAGTGGGAGGAGGATGAGAGAGGGAGGCTGGTGGGTTGTAGAAGGCCGTGTGGGTCCACAGAGAGACTCACATTGCCATTGTTGACCTGGGATGGTTGTGTGGGTGAAAGGGGGAGGGAAAAAGGGATTGTGCATAAGTCGCATTGTAGACCACTGAAGGGTAGGAAGCGTGATGTCAGCAGCACGTTGTTTCAAGTGAACACAGTATGAGAGAGATGGGAGGACAGCGGTTGTGGGAGCACAGGAAGCAACGGTACTCACCAGCTGCAGCAATGCGGAGAAGTATCGCGGGACCTCATATTCATGTGGAGTGTTGATCACGTTCTCAAACAGGTCCTCACACAACTGCTGCTGCTGCCGCCCTTCATCTCCTTGCCCAGCGCCCTCCATTTCACCCATCTCCTGCTGCTCCTGCTGCCGCTGCAGCTCCTGCTGCATGTGTTTCTGCTCCAAGGCTGAAAGAATCCGGTCCCCATAAACGTGGATGTCGAATGGTGGCCGCTCGTCCTGCCACACAGTACACAGCTCACTTCAGTCAGCCATTTCTTTCAAACATGCTCTCTGCAAAAGAAAATCTTTTTGGAATGGTGTAAGGACAGCAAGGTTCCCTGGTAGATCCTCTGTCACATCCCCTGCCTGAAATTACCGGTTGTTCAAGAAGCGGCAGAATGCGAGCCTGCCAGTCCCCGACCCTCGTCTCCACCTCTGACCTCCGCGCCTGCATTTCCGCTGCCCTCTGTATCATCTCCGCCTGACCGGCCACAAGAGGGAATGAGCAGGGGAAGGGGGCACGGGGTTTAGGGTGGTGGGGGGAGGGGAGGGAGAAAAAGTTTGCTTCAAATGCTGGGACAGAGAAGGCGTCTTGTGTTAGCTACGGGGATATCAAACGTGCATTTTTTATGCATTATCACAAGGCTAGAGCGCAATTCATATGTGACACGAGCATGTGAAGTCCGCTGCGCTTGACTCACCACATGGGCGTCTCGCATGGCTTCCACTGTTGCCACATGCGGTGCTGAGGGGTCCTCTGGATGGGGTGCGTCGGGTTGCAGGACGTTCGCCTCCCAGTCCATGCCTGGCTGCTTCCACACACATGCACACATGCACACGTGCACACATGCACACATGCACCCACGCACTCACACACACAGTACACAGAGCACACAGCACACACACCACACATGCACGCATGCACCCACGCACTCACACACACAGTACACGCAGCACACAGCACACAAAGCACACACAGCACACATGCGCACATTCACACACAGTACACACAACACACATGCACGCAGACATACGCAGTGCGAGGCTTTATATCAAGGCACCCAAGACTAGTTATAAAAGCATGGACCATGTATGTGCGTGTGCATGCAGTGCAGGGAATACTCACCAGTGAGTCAGCACCAGACGGTCCTGTGGATCTAGGCCGCTCCACGCCCATCCGCTCACCCTCCCCTCCCTCCCCATCGCTGCCCGCGCCATCCATCCCCGCGGCACCGTCATCATCGTCCTCTATATCCATCCCGTCAAATCCGAATCCCGGCGCCCCAAGCCTATCAGCGCCCGCGTGTGCGTCCCCGTGCGCGGATGCGTGGGAGCCGTGGGCGTGTTCCCCGTCGTCTAGGTCCGCGAATACGTTGCCTGTTGGGGGCTCTAGAGCACTGCCTGCCTGCTTGACGCGCAGCAGCACGAGGGTACACACACGGGGCCGCAGACACACACACACACACACGCGCACGAACACACACACACACACACAAAATCAAATATTGGGGTAATGAGAATAATCGAAGCTCTGCACACGCGCTCCATACCCCCACCTTCCCATATCACGCCTCATCACGCTCACCACCCCCTCCCCTCCCTCCCGCCCATCCTGCTCTACCTTTTGCGACCCTCCACCATCGAAGCTCCCGCCTGGAACCCCGCTTCGTTGCCTCTTGCTTTCGCGCATCACCGCACGCTGCATGATGCTCTCTATGTCTGGGAATATCATGCCGCGGCCCTTGCCCGCCAGTAGGGGGAACGACAGCCACACGCCCGGATCGCTCAGACTGCTGGACAAATCACCGCCGTCGGTTCTGCGCTTGGCGCGCAGGTAGGGCCGGCCTGGGGGGTGAGGGAGTCCGGGAGAAAGAAGAGCGGCGAAGTTCCAGGGAGGGGAAAAAGGAGTGGGAGTGGGGAAAGAGAAAGGGGTGAGGAACAAGTGTGCGTGAGAATGATGAGGCAAATCCCTGAGAGGAACAAAGAGAGAATTTCTAGATCAAAACGTTGAGATTCAGGATAAACAGAAGCAGATGCAAAACGGCGCCATCTTTCGGCTTCTTCCCCTGGGGTAACGACCCCCTGAAGCAACGACCTTTGGAGCAACGACCTCAGGTTTCCCTCACCTTTCCTTAACGGCCTGAGCGGGATGCAGCCTGCGTCATCTGGATCAAGCGGGGCGAACGGGTCATACTCCACCGCCGCCTCCCCCTGCCCTCCGCCCCTCCCGCTCGCACTCCCCTTACCGCTGCCCTTCCCACTGCCTCCTTTCGATCCCGATTTGTTCTGCGCACTCCCAGGTACAACCCCCCCGCCGCCACTTCCGGCTCCTCCGCTCCACTCCCCCGCGTGCGACCCATGCGCATCTCCGCTTCCCGCGGCTGGCTCCCCCCAATCCCCGCAATCAAACCCGCCTGCCGTCCCCATCCCATCCTCATCGTCATCATCCCCCGAACCCATCCCCCCCATGCCTTCCGGCGCCTGCCATTCGCTCTGCCGCGCAGCCCCCTCCCCCCACTGCGCGCATCCCGCTCCCCCCATGTCTTCCGCCACAGCCGCCCCTCTGTCTGCGTAGGGCGACGAACTCCACCCGTTGCGCGGAAACGGGGGCGTGCAGTCCGGGAAGAGACCCGGCTCGGGGAAGGTGAAGGCGGGGGAGCCAGCGCCCGCGGCTGCGCGGACGTGCGCGGCGCGACGCCGCGGAAGGCGCAGAAGCGCATCCATGACGTCCCCGTCTTGCGCCTCCAGGAAAACAGACCCCGACACGTGGCTGACGAAAGCGGCCATCTGCAAAAAAGTCAAGTGAAACGCAGGGAGCAGGAGCGGGTGCAGGGTGGGGCAGTGGTGGGTGTTGGGGGTGGGAAGTGGAGAGTTGGGGGTGGATTAGTCGCGAAAATTTTACAGTCTGTTGAAGATGACGGGACAGCAGGAATGATCCGCTAACACAGCAGACCACCTCCAGAGAACTGCTAAGTACCAACGACCTCTAAATGACCGAGCGCCTCTCGTGGACCACTAGAAACCTCCCAAGAACCGCTTTGCACTGAATGACCCGTGATACCTTGAAGGCGGAGAGCTCCGAAAAAGGCACAGTGCTGAACCCCTTCCCCCCATCCAGCTCCTCCTCTACTGTCAGCAGTATGGGGGGCGCGCGCGGCGGCAGCTTCGACCCCTGCCGCGCTGCTCCTCCTGCCAGCCCCCCCTCGTCTTCGTCGTCACCGTCATCGTCTGTTGTTTTCTTCTGGTCCTTTACTCGCATATCCAACCGCGACGGTTCTGAGCCGGTCCCAACCACTGGAACAAGAACGAGCCGAGAAGGGAACGACGGAGCAGAGAGAGGGGGAACGTGGGAGGAGGCAAGTCGAGTGGTACAGCGATTGTGGGACACAGGGAAACGAAAACAGGGAGCGAGTTGGGGTGGGAAGCTAGCAGGTAGCATCGAGATCCCAGCAGAAAGCGATTGAACGACGCGACGCTACAAGTCAGTACACACACTGACCTTCCACGTCATCCAGCGATAGGAACCGACGCATGTCGCAGTCATCGCCGTCGCCGCCATCACCTTGCGCGTCGCCGGATTCCTCCCCGTCGTTGCTGCCGTTCGTGTCCCTGCCATGACACCAGTCCATCGTTGCGCGAACAGCATCATCCATATTGAATCGGTTTCCTCAATAAGTGTTCACTAAAACACAGTTATTCTCCTCCGCTCATGGCCAGTGCTTCCGACTTTACCCATTTCCCTTGCAAATATCCGGTTCCGAGTAATTGTCTACGGTTTGCAGCACTCTCACCACCGCATAGCCACTCTTGATAGGAAAATCTCAGCGACTCGCATCGAAACCCCTTCGGATCGGCTTACGCACTATCCTGCGACCTCTGCATTCATAGGGACTGATTGTGAGTGCAATAATACCCTTCGTCGATTACTCACCCGGTTGCGAGTGCAGTCAACGTGTGCAGCACGAGGCTGTGCAAGTAGTCCGTCTTGCGACTGTAGATTCCTGCCGAACCTTGCACGACGAGCGCGGCTGCCAGGACAAACAGAATACATTTAATTTTTAAGTGAAACGAGAGCAACGAATACAATCGCGTACCACCTACACTTGTCTTTCCGGACTCAGTATAGCTCCCTCAGTGCCTATCCAAGAATTTAAGCATCGATTACATCAATACGTAAAACGTAGCCTGTCAAAAATCTACAATCAGTGATCTCGCACCTTCCACGAAGTTCAGGGAGGCACCGTCCTGCAGCGAGCCTGCTGCGCCTTGCAGCTCGTTCAGGTATTCGCCTAATACGCTAGCCACGTCGATGGTCCAGTTGAGGGCTAGGTCTCTCTCGGGGAGGAGAATTTTAGTAAACCTGCTTCCTGCATCTTCATCTCCACTCCTTTCTACGCCGGAATGCATTCTCAGTTGTGTATAAATAAGTTAACTAAGGCTGAAGTCAACAAGCCGCAGGGTTGCTGGATAAAAAGTTCAGCCTTAACATTTCAGCACGAAAAAAACTATTGAGCTCGCTCTAGGTTACTGGACGACAGGCTTAGTTTAAAGACACGATATATTATTGACAACATAGGTTGACACTTTAGCCTTATTAGCCCTTGTGCCCTTCTGTCTGCTGCTACGGAAGGAAAGCAACTAAGCTACTTACTAACGGAAATTGAATGCGTTCTGGCTGGTCGCGTTCTCCAGCCTCTTCGACTACGAAAGCAGTTGTTACTTGGTCAGGGTGCCTGTGAAAGGTCCAGTAACACAATGACATTGATCCTGGGAATTAGCTTCTGGCTGGAAGGAAGCTGAGAAGAGAGTGAGAGGAGGTGAAGGAGGTTGCAGGCTGCAGCCAAACCAAGCCCTGCCTGTCAGAGTCCCTGATCCTGCCAAGTCGCCCCCCCTGCTTCAAATTTCTCCCGCCAAGGCCTCGAAGCGTGGCGGGAGTTTTGGAATTCCCAAGGCCTTTCGAAGTTCTGTTGCATTTGAGCAAAGTCGATAAGAGCTACCTGCATTACGTTCAATTACAAGCCTTACCAAATGTTTTCTGTGCTATTCCTGCAATCGTAATTGATTTCCAGAAAAAAAACGCTACGTTAGCTTATGAAGTTAATAAAATATTTATAAATACTTTTTATAAAGGTTTAGTTTGTTTTAATGAGATAATAATTTCTTCCATTGAAAGAAGGATTCAAGTTTTTCAGCAATAACTTCGTTCTAGATTTACGTTTCTGTTGGTACAAAATCAGTCACCGTGCAGAAAGTCTTCAAACCGTACATTATCGTACAGGTTCATCCTCCAGCACGCAACTTGCTTGGCAGCAGCTGCGAACAGCACCCACGTGATCCACTGCCCTTTCGATGTTGTGCGTGGGTCTCGGCCTTCACAGTTCCCCACGCCTCCATATCTCTCCTCTGCCCCGCTATCTTCCATCAGTCCTTCTCCGTCCGCAGCCCAGACTGCTGTTTTTCTACCGATCTACGTGCCTCACTCTTTAAACTTCTTTCTCTGGAGATCCGTCTCGGGACTCAGTTCTGGACTTTGCAGCGATCATGGGCAAAGTGCGTCCGTCCGCGTTGCTGCAGCGCGCCAAGCAGCAGCGGGCCGAGGCTGCCGGCAAGCCGTCAGTGCCCGTCAAGGGATGCATCGCGCTGACCCTCCTGCTGCTCGGGGCGATTCTCTTCCTGCGCAGGACTTCGTCCCCGTGAGTCGCCACGCGTTTATTTTTCGTCTTTTCAATGACTTTTGCGCTCAAATGAAACAACTCGATCCTTTTCTTCCTCTGTTTCCTTCTTTCTCCCTAGCCGCTGCCTCTTTCCCGTTGGTTCTATTGACGCCATCCATGGTCCAGTTTTTACTGGATTCTCACAACTTAGTTGTTCCCATCCGTCTCCTCTCCGCACTCTGCGCAATTTCTCCCTCCTCCTCACCACTCCTGTTCCCCTCCCTTTCCCTTCCCCCCCTTCCTCCCCCCCATCCCTCCTTCCCTCCCTCCTCCCCCTCCTCCCTCCCTCCCTCCCTCCCTCCCTCCCTCCCTCCCTCCCTCCCTCCCTCCCTCCCTCCCTCCCTCCCTCTTTCCTCCCTCCCTCCCTCCCTCCCCCCTCCCTCCCCCCCTCCCTCCCTCCCTCCCTCCCTCCCTCCCTCCCTCCCTCCCTCCCTCCCTCCCTCCCTCCCTCCCTCCCTTCCCTCCCTCCCTCCCTCCCTCCCTCCCTCCCTCCCTCCCTCCCTCCCTCCCTCCCTCCCTCCCTCCCTCGGTCTCTTTATTTTACCCACCTTCCCCAAGCAGACCCACAACTAGCTCTGCTACCACTTCTGAGTCCCAGGTCGGACCTCCCTACAGTACATAGTTTGCCAGCTACACTTGCCGCTTCACTCGTTCGTACCTAGATTGCATGCTACAGCAGCGGCTTCACTTGTGTGTAGTTAGACTCCTCACTACTGCGACAGCTGCTGCGTCTCCGGTCAGCTCTGTTCTACATGATAGAATGTTTTTTTTTTTTTTTTTTTTTTTTTTTTTTTTTTTTTTTTTTTCGCATCACCCCTTTCCTTCCAGCTTTGTCCCTTCTCCCCTGCGTTTCTACATCTCTCTCTTTCTCACATACTACCTTGTGTGCCCCGTCCCGCCCTTACCCTTCTCCCTGCGGCCCCCCATATCCACACCGTGCTTTCTGTGCGTCTGCGAACCTGCAGTCATCGCGCAAGCACCTGATGGAGTCTGGGCAGCAGGGGGCAACAGGCGAGGCAAAAGAGATCGGGAAGAAGCTTCCTAAAGTGGTGCGTGGGTGAGGCTGCTTGTGGGCGAATAGATGGCTTTTGAGACGCTTCAAGGGTCAGGCAGGGGAGACAAGGGAGATAGGGAAGAACCTTCCCAAAGTGGCGCATACATGCTCCGCACGTATGGGTGGGGGGTTTGGGAGGGTGGACGAGTGTGCATGTGGGCGCATGGGTTTACGGGCGTGGTTCTGCCGCCTTCATTGCTCCAGAGTTTCTTCCTTGCCGTTTCTTGCTGACCTGCCGTCCTGCCGTCCCCTGTCAACCTGCAGCTATTAAAGACGTCCTTAGGCGACATAGTGGTGGAGCTGTATGCGGATGATTGCCCCAAGACCGTGGAGAATTTCCTCACTCACAGGTGCGTTTCTCACGCTTTTCTCACCACAGGCGCTGTATCCTCACGCACCTGTACAGTATGACACTCAGATGCTTTCTCACACGTAGGTACTTTCTCACACTCAGGTGCTTTCTCATCTCACACTCAGGTGCTTTCTCACACTCGGATGCTTTCTCACACTGAGGTGCTTCCTCATATGCAGGTGCTTCTCCGGTGCTTCCCCACTCATCCACCGGCCTGATCCATCCATCTGCCTTTCCTTCAGGAATGCATGCCTCCCTTCTTCCCCTCTCTTCCCCCAACCCTCCTGCCCCCGTCCCCGCCGCCCGCCAGCAAGAGCAAGTACTACAAGGGAATTATTTTCCACCGAGTCATCTCAGGCTTCATGATCCAGGGGGGAGACCCCACGGGCACGGAACTTGAGGTGCGGGCGAATCTCGTCTCGAATCCCTTCAAGAATACATGCCTCCTTCCCACTCTTCCCCAACCTTCCTGCCCTCCTCCCCTCACGCCCGCCAGCAAGAACAAGTACTACAAGGGAATAATCTTCCACCGGGTCATCCCAGGCTTCATGATTCAAGGGGGAGACCCCACCGGCACGGGCCGCGGAGGCGAGTCCATCTGGGGCGGCTCATTCGAGGACGAGATTCGCACGCACCTGAAGCACGAGCCGTTCACTCTCTCCATGGCCAACGCGGGCCCGGACTCCAACGGAAGCCAGTTCTTCATCACCACTGTTGCCACGCCGCATTTGAACGGACGCCACACTGTGTTTGGCAGCGTCATTAAAGGGAAAGACGTCGTGCAGGTGTGCTTTCTCCTTCACCTACCCGGCTTTCCTACCTGCCCGCTCCGGCCCACCTGCGGCTGTCCACTAATCTGTCCTCCCCTTCTCCCCTCCCCAACCCCCTCCCTCCCTCCTTTTTTTAAAATCTCCTAGAATCCTCCCTTCTTCCTCTGCACACATGCATCAGGTGCCATTTTTCTAATGCCCACCTCTTTACCCATAGCAGTTTCTGCCATGCGTTTCCCGTGGTTGCAGAGTGCACACTTGATATGTGTATTGCATGGTGCACTGTTCTTGTATGATTGGATTTGTCCACTTATGTTCGCACTGCATGTTCACTGACTTAATCATGCACTCGTGGACATATTCTCTGATCTTGTTGGCTGCATGTGCATGTTTGCATACATATGTGTATGATGCATGTGTGCATGTGTGCATGCATTTGTATGTGTGCGTTCATGTGTGTGTGCGTGCAAGCAGGCCATAGAGAATGTTGAAACAGACTCCAGTGACCGCCCGCTGACACCTGTTACAATCCTGGACGTTGAAGTTGACCCTGACACCTGCTGCTAATTGCAGCACTGGAGGTCGGACGGAACGGATTTCTGGGGATGGCAACAATACCAGTATCCCTGTTGTTCTGCCCATCTCCCTCCTGCTGCGCGCTGCAGTAGGCATGCACTATGATCTGGGCTCTCAAATTGTACTCAGCATTTGCGTTCTAAAATCTAGGCTCTCATTCTCACAGTGCAGTAGGCACATCACATCACATCACAGTGCCCATTCCCTGTACCGTGGAACACTTACGGTACACTTGAGTTGGTGAGTTGTTTCAGGGACACTCATTCAGAGTGGTAACATTGCTGTGCTGCGTACACAACTAGCAATCAGCGACGGTGCACATTTGCCACCCAAAACCCAGAACCCTGGCGAACTGTTACTGCAGATGAAAAGTGTCTGCACGAAATCCTGGTTTTCGCCAGCCAACACTTTCGCGCTGGCAAGCCTGGTTCAAAAAAAAAACTTCTGAACCCAACACTGCCAAAAGTTGCCCGTCGCTTTAAAAAAGCATTGGCACTACAGTACTGAAGGCACGGACCAGTATCAGGCCATCAGGACAAAATTACAGATGTGTTCATTTAAGGATCATTGCATGAATGTAGCTCCATCAAGCCACAGGTTAACAAAAACAAAAGGCTGTCTTGATGAGTCAAATCCTAGAACCTACATGACAAGAGAGCATTTGAGACTGCATACAGTGTAGTACCGTAATTACCCCATACAAGCGGAAACAACAGTGACAAAGCTTGGCGGGGAGGGAGACACGATAGAAAGGTGACGCTGGGTACGAAAGAGGGGTATAGAATGGAGAGCTTAGGAATGGAGAGCAGGGAGGAGATCAGGTGAGAGACAGCAACTTAGGGAGAATATGCAGCTTCTGCAGCAAGCGTGAGCAACAGAGGTATAACCCTTCACCAAACTGCGCAGAGCAGCCAGTCAGCCTGAAAAAGCCAGTGCACAACACCTCCCACCACCACCTGCCACGCTCTGTCCCTCCCCACCCACACAGCACCCGCCCACTCATCGAATCTGGCTCATAGAGCACACAAGCCCAGACGCATCCGCGCCCACCACAGCCAGATCACACACAGCACACACAGACCCCGCACACTCGGGCACAAAGCGGGCCCCGCAGTAGGGGCAGAAGGAGTCCCTGCTGCCGCGGTAAATCGGCACGAACGTCGACCCGCAGACCACAAACGGGTTGCGCGGGTCGTAGTTCAGCTGCTGCTCGTCGCGCGGGTTCTTCTCGCACTCTGCGAGAATCTTGCGCACCTTGGTGGCCACGCCGGCAGTGGGGTTCAGCTCGAGGAGCCGACGGCAGATGCTGGCCGTGGTGGCAAAGAGCTTGAGCTTGAATCCGGCGGCCATGGCTGCCTGGAGACTGAGCTTCAGGTGAGCTGGTTGCAGCTTGCAGTGTGTGAAGTAGGCTGCCAGCTCCGCCTAGAGAAGGGAGAGAGAGAGAGAGAGCGGGAGGGGGAGGAGTTGGAGACAGGGAGTGGGGGTGGAAGGGAGCGGTGTGCACACCCAAGCGGAGAGATGCAGTACGAAGGAGAAAGAAATGGCATGTGCACACCACAAATGTCAGTGATGCATGCACACATGCACACAACACACGGAGAGCAGACCACAGATGCGCACATACTCCTCAAACAAAGCATGCATTCATTGCCTGCAGCATTTGTGTTGCCAGACGCTCTTTCAAAAGTATGGATCCTGGCCACCTTGCTGTTGCAGCGAAAGCATCAATAACACATAAAGTGCACCTTTGCAGCAGGCAAGAAGGCCATTCTCTACCGATTCAGTTCAACCACCGCACTGGTTACAGAGCACATCAAAGCCAACAAAAGAATCATCCACAAAACCAGGAGTGCTCTGACCTGACGAATAGGGTTATCGCGCGTCTCCTTCCTCTTGAGCTCAATGCGCAGCGCAAGCGTGTACTCCTTGGAGATGCCCAGCAGCTCCTTCACCTCGTCCACCTCCTTGCGCGTCTCCACCACGAGCAGGGGAATCGTCTGCAGGATGCCCAGGAACAGGCGCAGCGCGTCCGTGAACTTGCCCTCCGTCGTCATCTTATACGCCGCGTTCAGCTTCTCATCCAGCGCACTCAGGCGGAACGCCATGGACGGGTGCGCCCACACGTTCGGAGGAGACGACTCCGTCCACCCGGCCTCCATCCCCAGGGAGACAGCAGGGACGGACGGGAGCGCAGGGAGGGACGTCTGACTGGCAAGAGCCAGGTCCAGCATGCCCTGGCGCAGGGGAGCGAAGTTCTTGATGCCCAGCTGGCGGCTGAGCTGGCGCATGGCCGCATCGAACGCGCCTGCTGCAGCGAGCTCTCCCGCGAGAGGCGTCTTCTGGGCCCACTTCTGCGTGACGGGGATGCCAGGGCTGGGCGCGACAAAGAAGGTGGTATCGGCACCGGATCCCACGTCGCCTGCACCGCCATCGTCGGGAATATCCACGTCGATGCCGCCCCACCCGTCCTCGTCGTCCTCTCCCTCCCCGTCGCGCTCCTCCTTCTCCCCCTCGCCCTCCTCCGCCTCTCCCTCCGCGCCCTCGCCCACGTCCGGGATATCCACGTCGCCCCACCCAGCCCCCACCTCCTCGTCCGCGCCAGCAGCCGCGGCCGCGCCAGCATCTCCGAAATCCCACATGATGCCCTTGCTCACGTTCAGCAGCGGCCAGTTGTCCTGGCGCAGGATGGGCGTGGGCGGCAGCAGCAGCTTCGCAGTGCCGTCCGCAGGGAGGGGCGGAACACGGTCTCCCAGCTCCTCCGCCAGACGAGCAGCCGTCTCCTCCAGCCCATGCACAGCCGCAGTGACATACGCCAGCGGCGCGTGCCCCGACTCCTCCAGAATCTTCACCCTCTCCTCCACATCCCCCAGGTACAGCGCGTTATGGAACCGCCCCATCACATCATTGCGCATCTCAGCAATCTTCAGCATCTTACCCAGCTTCTCCAGATTCCCCGTGATCAGATACAGGAACGAGAGGCGCTCAAAGTTCTTGGTCTTCTGGTAGGAAAACTCCACAATCTGGTGATTACCCTGGCGGAGCGCCTCCACGCCCAGGCGGTACCACGTGTCCTTGTGGTCGATCTCATGGGCGGACGCCAGTGCCACCTCGATATTCCCGCACTCGATCGCCAGGTTGAAGCGCGTGCGCTCGTCCTTCACGAAATGCAGCGCCACGTCCGGGAAGCCCTTCTGCTGGAGATACGCGATGATGCTCTGCCCGCACAGCTGGAAGCTGCGGATCATCGCGAGCACCTGGTCGTACTTGCGCTGAATCAACGCCAGCTTGAACATATACTCAGTGGAGTCGATCTGCACGACTCGCATCTTCCCATCGCGGTCCAGGCAGTAGACTGCGCCAGCCTCCACCTTGGTGATATACACGGGCACATCGAGGGTGCGGATGATGCCGCTGTCGCCGTTGGGCAGGCAGTACTTGAGGTGGTTCAGAGTGGTGTAGATGAACACGCCCGAGTCGTCCCACCCGCCGCTCTTCACGCGGATCGTCTCGTGCACCGTGCAGCGGTGCGCCAGGCGCTTGTTCGCGATGATAATCGCGTGCTTGGACAGCAGCGCCACGTGGTTCATATCCGCCGACCACACGACATACTTCACGAACGGAGTCGTTAGCTCTGCAATCGCAGCCCGCTGCTGCACGTCAAACAAGACGACCTTGTCGTCGGAGCGGCACAGCAGGGACCCCGTGCCAGCGTAGAAAATCGCGTCCGTGGACGCGACGGGAGGCGGGCACTTCTTGGTGACCTCGTTGCGCAGGTTCTTGATCACGATCTGGTCGTGGCTCTTGTCCAGCACCGCGAACCTGTTCCGCGCCACAAACACCGCGGACGTCCCCGCGCCCCGCTTCGCCTCTGGCGCCTCCGCCGCGCCGCCCCCGCGCCCGGCGTCCTTGGGAACGGTGTACAGCTCGTAGCTACCGCCGTCCGCGTCCGAGCAGATCAAAACGGAGTTCTCCGCGGGGTTGTAAGACAGCGAGCGCGGGCCCTGGTTGCTGCCCGTGGTGCCTGGGCGGCGGATGGAGATGAGAGGGTTGTCACGGCCAGACCCAAACTCGTACGTGCGGATATAACGGTCCTTCACATAGTACAGGATGTTCCCGTGGACGGCGTACGCAGGGCGCTCGCGCTCGAGCTTGAAGACGATCATTCCGCTGTCGTGCCCCGCGGCCAGGAGGTTCATTTCGGGGTGCGCGGCGAGGATCCAGAAGCGGTCGTGCTCGCGGCGGAAGGACTGCGCGCTGGTGCGCTTGGACATGTCCCACACGCGGATGCTCTTGTCCTCGGAGTTGGAGACGATGATGTCCTGCCGCGCGTGGAAGAGTACGCACGAGACGTTGTTCACGTGCCCGCGCAGCGTGTCCACCTCCCACGCCTTGGTGTCTGCACGGGCGGCGGGCGGAGCGGGGGGGAGACACGGGGGCGAACGCGCGAAGGGGCGGCGAAGGCAGCGCGAAGGGAGAGGGAAGGAAGAGCGGGCAGGCAACATCGGGGATAATGTTGAGCGGGAAGCACGAAGTTTGATTTCCTTTTATGCCAGGCGAATTCAAAGACAGCG